AAAAAAATCTAATATTTGAGGCTAGCAATGGTCCTCATGAAACCACAGCTGAGTATAGCTTTTCAGTTGTACAGTAACCTGCGTTGTGAAACCTGACACTTTTTCTTAATCTCACATCATCTTTATCTCTCTAAAAATAACCCCATGTAGATAAAGTAAGCCTTAACCAAGTCACACATCAGATGAGCAATAGCATGGCTGAGGAAGAAAACTTCCTCTTTCATTGGGCCTTATTTTCTCTCATATGTTGCAGAAAACAGAAAATACTTGATGACATCTGCCATTTTAGACCACCGTAAAGTTCGCTTGATGTACGGGGAATTGCCAAAAAAAAGCAAAATGTCACTTTTGGCGACGTATCCTCGGCTCTCATGGACGAGGCTTACGTGTCACTAATACAGAGGATGCTGATAAAAAAAGAATAGATAACACATGGGGCAGTTCCACATTATTTCTGAAAGTAACAAGTCTGTTTAAGAACAAAATGATGCTTGGGAGCAAGAACAAGGTGACAAATTTGGGGTTTTTCAGTTGTCATTAGCACGTCAGAGCAGGAAAAAACAGGTTGAAAAAAAGTGAAGTGAGAAAAGAACCTGAAATTAAGTACTGTTACTTATCTGATTATGTTTTCTGACTGCTTCACACTGTAATTAGGTTGCATAGCCACTAAATTAACACTGTTTGTCAAAGACATTTATCACTACTAAGAATGCTGTGCATTTGTTTTAGCCACGCTAGCAGCTTAGCTTAATGGATGGCAATGACGGTTGGTCTGGGGTCAACCAGTTTGGTCCAGAAGGAGCAGCAGTAACCGACTTCTCCATTGCACCTTTGCAGCCTGTGCACGTCTATCTCTTTTCTTGGCACCTGTTCAGTGCAGCCAGGGACACATTTACATTCACACATATTATACGTGTGATTCTGACCACTTCTGGTATAATGTATCCAGATATGCTATATCTAGGTTACTGCAGATCTAGCTCATATGTACCACAGCACACACCTGCTGTCAGAATGCAACTCAAATGAATTTCATTTGACCACTTGTAGTCAAATTTCACTTCTCCATTCTCATTTGCATTTATCTGTGAGAAACTGTGACCACTACTTGAAAGAAAGAAAAACAAACACTGTTTCACTTAACCATATTGTGGTGTATATTTGGTAACTCACCTCAAACATGGACCCCATAACCACAGCTGGGCTGTTTTCCAAACACAAATCAGTTGCATTGATGTGTGCTATACATACATATAAAACTGACGGGGTAGTCCTATCATTCATATAGTATGTGTTCACTTGTGTCTCTGAATACCACTGAATATGGCTTGTGCAGTCCCATCCAGTGCATGTATAGACCATGTTAGGTTAGCTGCAAAGTTATTAGAGTTCGGCTGCCATGTTGTGTGAATGCCCTCTAACCTATTTCATATAGCTGAGTAACCAAATGAAATTCCACTTGGTCAACAATCTGTGACGAGTGGAAAAGTGTGTTCCGCAAATGATTTCTTGGCAACAAGTATTTCCCAATTCTGTCCCAATGTGATCAGACTTTTAAGCCATTTTTGTCAGAACAGCAGCAGCACTTTATCACACCAGGTCTATGTCTAAACTTTTTTCTTAAACCACATGTTGTTTTAGCTTCAAAGTAAATTTACACTCAGTCAGAATTAATCATGTAGTGCAGGATGATTTCTTGTCCACACTACTTATTAATAACCTAATGGTGGTTTTTGCATTCTTAGAACTAATTTTCCCTACCCTGCAGATGATCAGCAAAAAACTTTGGCCTCCAGCTGACTGACTGATGACTTTATGTTGTATAAAATATGTAAAAATGATTTTGAGTTTATAGGTTTTGACAAGGCATTGCTCTGGTTTCTCTTTTGTGTTCCAACCACCATGACCCTGAGCATCACCACAGCGGTATTTTGGTTACTTTCTGGTTAGGCCTCCGGCACTCTGCACTGCTACACAGATCTACCAGTGTTCCCACTCCTGAGCAACTGTGCACATACACTCAAAGGTACAGAAATGGCACTCCCCTCCATCGTATAAGGTGCAGATGCTGTCCCTTACTTGATAATGTAATGTTTTTGATTATATATGACACATTTATTTAAACTCAATGGCGTGCCACTACATTGCTGCCAAGTGCACATTAGAATAGATTAGCAAGTATCAATATATGGGTCCAAACCAGGTCCCCATGAGTTGTGACAAATTGGAATTTCATATCAATGTTACATCTGTGTCTCACTGATGGGAAGGAAACCTCAAGCCCCTCCTCTTTGAGATACAGAACTGGGCAGTTGCTGCACATCTTAGCAAAACAGGAAATTTCATGTTTCCTCTGCTGCTTATAGCGACAGCTTGCATCACACAACTTCTGCATATGTTCACACACACACACACACACGCACACACACGTACACCGACACACGCTCATACACACATGCACACACCAAGTCCCGCAAGCGGCCACATTTTTACATCAGGGATTAGGGTCTTAGGTTAGGTCTTAGGTTTTGAACTGCACTTCACTACCACAGTTAGTCAATGTAAAAAAGTGAGTACCTTGTTGTTTAAATACTAAAGAATTCTTCCTTCATTACTGTAGACAGGTTTACAATGAATTAAATTTATTTCCAACATACATTCAGTTACATTTCTCAATAATGTGCTGTACAAAATACAGCTTTGTTTAGGGTTTATAAAGTATCAGTAAGACGTAGGCTTCAAACACTTCTTTTTGATGGATTTTTGTAGCGTTTTGGGCCTGATGGTGAGGAGAAGAATAATCGAAATGCCCACAAAAGAAAGGCAGATGGGTACAAAAAGCAGAATGTACCAGAATATAGATTCTCTACCTTCCTCCGTACACAAAAATGATGGGAAGTGCTCCACTCTGTGTGTCATTTGGATGGGATCCTGACATTCAATGTCTGATTGGCCGACCACATTGATTGTCTTTATTGTTTCAAATGTCCTGAACCATTCTGTTTGGCAGCAGTTGAACGGATTTCCTGCGAGGAAGACAGTGTGTAGTTTTGAGGCCAATGCGTTAGCCTGACCAGAGGGAATAGTGGACAGTCTGTTGTCCCTCAAGTCGAGCACTTTCAGGTCAAGATTTACAAGTGAAGGGGGAATATGGGCAAGAGAGTTCCTTGAAATGTTTAAGGATTTCAGACTTTGAAAATGAGTGAAGTCGAAGTCTTGTATGTGAGTGTTTCCTAAACCTAGATGTTGCAATGTTCTGCTAAGACTTTGTACTGATTCTTGGAGAATGAGTCCAGGGTTGTCAGACAGTTCCAAGTGTGTTAGAAACAACCCAGCAAACGCCAAAGATGGAATTCTTTTAATGTTGCATCCCTTAAGGTGAAGTTGCCTTAGGGATACAATGTTTTTCCAATCCACGCAAGCTGACATAGCATCTGAACCGGTCACAGCCTCCTCAGTATGGCAAATGTCAACGTTGTTATAACTGAGATCCACTGACCTCAGGCTTGGCAATGAGGGAAATAAACCAGAGGGTAACCAGTTGAAGTCATTCAGG